CCACCTGGGACACTCTGTATATACTACAAGTTTGATCTTCTGCGAGGCATTATTTGAAGGAACTAAAGCAGATCGATTGCACTGATGAAGAAAACAATGCTAGCAACGGGCCACTGTTATTGCGTTTCCATGGAAGTGTACGCTAACTGTTCTAGTGTTACTATTGAAACGACTGCTGCGAATGCAATGTTGAGTCAAAATTTCGAAGCGCTCGGATGGGATAGGGAATTAATTATCAAAGAGTTAGTTTCATCTGTTGCTTAGGAAATGCTAGCAACGGGCCACTGTTATTGCGTTTCAATGGAAGTATATGCTGTTCTAGCGTTACTATTGAAACGACTGCTGGATTTCGAAGCAATCGGTGAAGAACTTTCGGAGATCTTCGATAAGAGAAAACGAACATTTACATTTTTATTTAAAACTCTTCGGAGCTGGATTATTATAACCTGGTTTCGGACATAATAGAGGGCACGATCTGTTGTTAGCAACGGCCCACTGTTATTGCGTTTCCATGGATCTTCGATAAGAGAAAACGAACATTTACATTTTTATTTATATAGAAGATAGATGAAAACGACACAGCCCAATTCCAAGGCAATGTCACACGAAAAATTAAATCAAAATGAAAATAAATCAAAACTGTTTATATTCGGCACTGGCTATCGCAAGACTAACTCCTTCGGCGCTTACCTCCAGGCTCTCTTCCGTATCCCTTGGCATCTGCCCCGAGACTGACTGCTTCTTGTCCAAGGTGGGCTATTTATACCTCGGCAGATGCTGTGATTTCACTCGGAATCTCTTGTGATACTTGTAACCTCGTGATACTCGAGACACTCATGATACTGAACAGTCGCCGGAGCTAAACTCTCTTATACATATAGCCAGCGCTCAGACGGGATAGGGAATACCTTATCGAACAGTTAGTTTCATCTGTTGCTTAGGAAATGCTAGCAACGGCAAACTGTTATTGCGTTCCCATGGAAGTATACGCTAACTGTTCTAGTGTTACAATTGAAACGACTGCTGGATTTGGAACATGTGGCAGGTTTTTACCTGTTTTTACCTGTAATGGGTGTGACACCTATATAAGAGGCACACAAAAACACGCGAGTGTTCGAATGCAACGTTGTGTCAAAATTTCGAAGCAATCGGTGAAGAAGTTTCGGAGATCTTAGGTAAGACTCAAACGAACATTTACATTTTTATTTATATGGATTACATTAATGGTTATTAATGAAGACTGACCAATCAACTGACCAAACGACTGAGCAATCAACCATGACTGACTAACTACCTAATTAAATAACTACCTACTTAACCAACCAACTAATCAGCTAACTAGCCAACTCCATGGAAAAGAGTTTTCCTTGGGAAGACAACAGCTGCACAGAACTGAATGTCTATACTGCTAAAAAAACAAAGCTCAAGACAGACAAGAGAATATTCCCCCTTAAATGTCATTTTGTTTTAACAGTTGTAGTGAGACTGAAAAATTGTATCCAATTATTATAAAGAGAACCTTACATAGTTATGTCACTTAATCATTCATTGATATACTGACGTAGTATCAATGTAAGTAAGAAGTATATGATAGGCCATATACCAGGTGCAGAAATAGCTGAAAACAATATATCTTTAGAGCAATGGTTCTCAACCTCTCTGAGACCATGGCCCAGTAAATTCTTTCTTCATAAGACGAGGGCCCAGTATAACTGATGCCAGGTCCTGGCACCGGGACTCAGTCCAGCAGTTGAGAAACACTACTTTAGAGCACGGCAATACTGCTAATGGATTGACACAGTGGTTCTCAAACTTTTTACCTGTGAGACCCCCTGGCAAGAGAAAATACTCTCAGGCCCCCAGCCTGTTTTCTTTTATCAAAATTGAAGTCATGGTATGTTTGACATTTTATTCAGTTTATTTTGCGTTTTTCTACATACTATTTAGTAGCTTTTTTTTTACTCAAAATTAAAGTATCACAATATTAGGCCTGCTATAAAAATTAGTTTTAACACTTCCAATTAACTAAAATATGTATTGAACTGAAACGATATTTGACTAACAAGTACTTAATTTTTTTCTGCAAAGGTTAGGTCCAGGACATTTAAATGTCAAAGTTCAGTGTGATGGATGGGCCTGCTTTTGAGAATAAAGTTTATCAAAACGTGGTGTAACATCAGAAATGGCCACTCTAACGTCTTTAGCAATATTTAGCCTTGAATGATACTTTGACTTTATAGCTGCCAAAGCAGAAAAGCCTGTCTCCCATAAGTAAGTTGTTGCGAAAGGAATCAGGATCTTCAAAGCTTTTTGGCTCAAAGTTGGGAATTCCTTGCCAATATGTATCCAGAACTCCAACAAAGACAATTCCTTAAATTTACTTTTTAATGAAATATCACTAGTGAGATCGATGAGCTGTTACTGCTCATTTACATTCAGACATGACGGCCCAGGAACATCTTCGAATGGATTTTTAATCCAATTAAATTCATCAAAATCATTGCAAAAGTATTTCTCGAAATGAACTTTCAACGTTATGAGATGATCAAGTAGGCAGCTTTTTATTCCATTGGAAGCACTGGATTATCAGCAGAAGAGTCACCCAACATTGTTGATACTATGTCAATCACTGGTGGTAAAATCAGTGTTTCTGCAGTTGTGTGTGGTTTCTTGCATTAGTAATTCTATGAGAAACCTGATAAGAGACTAAAAGGGCCTTAGAATTCACATTTGTTGTTTTAGCAAATTTCTGTTGGGTAAACTTAAAACCACTAAGCTTTCTAACAAAAAAAATCTTTTGGTTTATTTGTAAACTTTGGATGTTTGTTTTCAGGATGTCTCTTTAATTTATTAGGTTTCATACTACTGCAGCTAAAATACTTAGAAAGATTACACATTGCGGACGTTCTTCATCATTGATCACAGTTTTCGTAAAGCCTAGTGATAAATAGTTCTCATCATAACTTCTCGTTTTCACACTCCGAGTAGCTTCTTCCCCACCACTAGTTCAAGAAGCACTGGTGTCTTCATTTCTATCACTAATCAGGAAACGCTTCATGATCAATTGTTCATAATCAAGTCAACTTCAAGAGGTAAACAAATCAGCACAACTGCACTGAAACCTTGAATGCATAAGAACACAACATCAAACAGGCATACCCGTCAATCACCATTGAGTCTGGCGACAAACTGCCTGCTCCTTGCCCAACAGGCGCCAATGAGATGACATAAGTCACTGCTTTCAGCCTGTACTTATCAAAAGTCTTTCTATATGTATTTCTATTTTTTGTTACTTTTCAAATTGATTTAGGGCAGTTTCAATTTTTATCTGTAGGAAAGTATGCTGCGCCCCCCTTCCAAGGCCCTCCCCCCCCCCCCCCGGGGGTTGCGCCCCACAGTTTGAGAACCACTGGATTAACAGCATGCAGTTTTCTACACAAGAGATTTAGGAATTAACAAGGCAACACTAACAGGAAAGTACTGTCAACCATCACCAGCAGCCACGATGAAAAAGTGAGCTAGTACCATGAGACTGTGAAAATGGTGATGAAGCACATCATATACAATTACAAATATTACACAGAAGCTATCACACGATGGGCAATCACTTACTGTTTCCCACAGTATACCATATCGAAATTGTATGTAACTACATAAAGGAATTACTGCACTACAATTCTATGGCACACACAAAGCAAAATTCTTTTTGGTGTAACATAACAATCTTAGTTCAGTTCAATTGTAATTAGACGTCTATGTACTTAGTCTGTCAATAATGCGACAATCATTAAAACATTCACTACTCAACACCAACACATGTTTCAGCCATAGACAGCCATCCTCAAGTGTTGCGGTGCGTCTAAACTGTTACACTGTTTTGATGTGCGCTAAAATTTTGCGTTGCAGTGCGTGCATCAAAACAGTGTAACAGTTCAGGCATATCAAAACACCCAAGGATGGAGTTTATGGCCGAAACATGTCACGTTGGTGTTGAATAGTGAATATTTTAAAGATTGTTGCATTACTGACGGACTAAATATATAGACATTTAGTAAAGATGTGCAACAGGATGCTGAAATACAGAATTATAATTAAAGGATATAAGAGGATCACAGTTACTGAAACTGCTGTAACTAGTAAGTTCTATATGTCACTGTAAAATTTATTGTAAAATATGATGTTCTCTCTTATATATGGTTTCTGATCAAATGTTTGTGCATACATCTTACCTCTCTCATAAAAGCTATACATCCTGCTCATTTCCACCCTTCTTCATTTAATCACTCTATGCTTGCAGGCTAAAGTCATGGAGGTTTTTTAATGACATTAAGTGAAAGGTACAAATTATAAATTACATAACTGTGTCCAGTTGGATATTCCTTCATTTCTCTTAGGTCCAAATATCTTCTTCAGCATTTTATCTTCAAAGACAGGGTGCATCTTGCTTCCTTTCCATGATATTGTGATGAGTTATCTTACGTCCATCGCCGCGCAACGGATACATTGGAAATTGTGGAGATCCCACAGTGACGAATTGCCGTTGAGTAACAACGGATGAGACAAAACTCGTTACCAGTGTATAAAGAGCGTTCCCGAAGCAACAGGTTGCCGAACACGTGAGATCGAACCTTGGCGAATGGTGTCTCATATCCGGTCCGCATAACACCTATATAAGCCTTCATGCAACGCAGTTGGAACCGACTCTTCATACAACAGAGTTGGAACCTAGTCGAGACGTCACAGACGTGATACCACAGGCGATAATAATTGTATGGTGTATAAGTGTGAGTGCCAATAAAGATTCACTGAATCCGAGACCCACATGAAGTCATTTGTCGCGTGACACACCCAATATGTGACAATATCAAACTATTCCATTTCTTTCATTTCTACACGGCTCATTTCAGGCCGATATGGCATGAATCATGTCATGTCAGGCACAGCTTTCTGATGATTTTCATTCGCAGGAATAAGATATAGTGAATGAGGCATCTTCTTACCTTATCAGAGTCGGTGGTGTTGCCTGAGCCAAAAGATGCTAGTGAGCCTCGATCCAGGTTTTCTACACTCTCATCCAGTGATGCAGAATCATCCATATCCCTAGAAAAAGAAAATATTGTACTCTCAATTCTAAATATATACTACAGTTAATTCTTAGTAGCAATTTATAATTCTTATAAATTGCAGTACTAACATGGCAAGTGAGCAACGCCAGTGCTGTCGAATGCAAGATATCAAAATTTTTAATGCTACCATATACTGAGAATTTTTAACTTTATGCAGATCACATCTGCACAGCACATGAAACAAACCATGGCAACCTTACGCATTACAACATAACTTTCAGTTATCACCATTAAGATGATACTTGATGAACCACTTTAACCATACATGTGAAATTTGGTATATTACAAGCATAGCTCTGAATTTTGTTTTGAACGCTTTAGATACAACAAAGCTTTGATACTATGCCTGATAATTATGAGATAATGTAAATATGTAACAAAGTAAATTTTATATAAATGAGGGCGTTTTGATTGTAGCATTGTATGGTCTAGTAGGTGGGTACCAGTTTTTCAGAGAAACATACTCTGAAGACAGAAGCAATGTGTTTCACCAAAACACTAACCATTTACCAGACTTGGTGTCATATCCATGAAAACTGCAACATATCTAATTCTGTCCATAAGCCTTGCTGGCCTTTCAGTTTAGATGGAAGAATTTAAAACAAAAGTAGACTGTACGTTTATCTCAGAACTCCTACAAATATCCACTAGGAATCATTTGAAATTAGTGCATTACACATACGAAACCCAAAAGTTTTAATTACTTTAGAAATGTTGCACCTAGACAGTGCCTTGTTTACTAATGTTCAGGTCTGTATTCATGCATGCATACATATGAAGATTACAGATGTACAAATATACACACATGAAAACCACGAACTCCACATGCGGGTGGACACACACACACACACACACACACAACATGTGCAGGTGTCATAAAAACAACTAGCTCACTATGAAAAAAAAACAAAGAGAATGATACAAATTATAAATGAGATATATGTGCTATGCATAAAGACCATAAATAAATGAGATGTCTAAATTCTCTGTTAAGAGTTCTGTCTTCTGGAATATACTTACATGGGATTACATCCAAGAAAATAGAACTTTTTAGCCACCACTGTCAGAATCTCAAAGTCAACATACATTCTGAATGATTCTGTTTTCGAGAAACGGTAACAAATAAAAAGTAAAGTAATGAAGAACTTAAGACATATTAAATTTGGGGAATGCACGCACTGATCAATTTTTAGGTTGTTGGGAGGGGGGTGTAGAGTGAGTGAGTGAGCGAATGAGCAAATAAGCATGTGTTAGTTTTTAGTTAGTTAGTTACTTCTGATTATCTAGTTTTCCAGCCCATAGCCAGTCTCTATACTGACTATGCTATCCTGGCATGAAGCTGACCACTCACCTCAGCTGGCGCCAGGATCGAGAAACTATGGATCTATACATCCACTCCCCATATGCCTTCATGGCATAGTGCATAATTTATTAAGTACAGGGGCAACTTTACTTATTAGTAAGGTATTTTACCAAAAAAAAAAAAAGTAGGCATTTTCCAGTTTAAAATGCAAGTAAAGAAAAATATCATGAAATATGTAGTTTTATGTAACTTCCAAAGAAATGTGTAGGAAATGCCAAAATATGTAAAAATTTGTAGAATAAAATTCAACTGTAGCAATGCTAATGCTGCAATTTGTGGAGATTATTACTTTTTGAGCATCTACATAGTAAGAAATAAAATATGTATCTACATTAAAATCCTAGCTCTAATTATCACCATCTCAGTTGTTGGCTGCGATTCACTTCTTACCTGGCACTTGGCTTGACTCAATAAGAATAAAGAAGCGAATTTAAATTTTAAACAAATCTGTGCTTTTGGTATAAATTCTTGAAACCATGACGCCCATATGCTGACATGCTGAAGGTCCCACATGTTACACAACCAACTTCACATAGTCATGCCTTAAACACTGTTTGTTAAATGGTGTCCGAAGATAATGATAAGAACAGGAATAAGGCAGAAATTTGTGACATGTCAAACTGTTGTTAGGCAATGGGATATGGAACGAGTTACCACGAAGACAGACTCTTGATAAACAGTCGGTTGCCAAGTTATGCAACAGGTAAAAAGGCAGTGTATCTCCATGCTGCACCAAGCCGAGCTGCGATGGTTGCTATGCGGCAGTAAACAACTCTCGGCAGCATTGCCAAGCAATGCCACTGTAAACACGTCATGCAGCAGTGAATCAAGCTGTGTTTTCTGCCTGTCCAATTGAGGGTTTATAAGAGAAACTGGAGTAACTAAGGAGCGTATATTCGGCAGAACAGAAGTCAGTCAGTCAGTCAGTCAGTCAGTTGAGACAGCCACGGGAAGAAGGAGAACTGAACGCAGGATTAGAAGATTTTATATGTGATAATCAGTGATAGTGGTGATAACTGTGAAGGCATTGGGAATTGGGAGTGTGTAATTCAGTGACACTTGTATAGCTCCTGTGTTATACTGCAAATAAGTGAAGACTACTGAAGATAGTGTGCAGAGATTAGTGTGTAGGGTTTGTAAATTGTGTAAAGCTGCAACAGGGTTATAATTAATTGCAGTTATGACTTGTATGTTGTTAACAAAACCAGTTAACAATCCGAATGGCGTCCACAGTAGACCAAACACATTACAATATTTTACCAGCCTTCAGAAAAAATAGAACTTATATCTGACATAAATGAAGAGCAGATAATACGCATTTAATGTAAGGAAAGCTGCAACTGTGAAGTCCTTGGGATACAGATCTCACTGGCTATCACAAGCTGAGGACACTTACCTACTGGAGCGTTGACTACCAGGCTTCAGCTTGGCTGGACTCTTTGGCATACTGAGTGGCAGCGCAGAGCTAAAGTATGTCTCCTGGATTACTTCACGCAACTTCTTCACCCATGTCTGCTTTCCATCGAGAGATGACGCCTACAAGGGAGAAAAAATTTCAGTGTTTAAGGTAGTTTCAATACCTATCAGACTTTAAGAACATCACAGAAACTGTGCAAACATTTTACCGTATTTACGCATGTATAGGCCGCACATTTTTTGCCAAAAATTAAAGAGGAAAACTGGGGTGCAGCTTATATTCGAAATATTCAAAATCACACTTCATTTAAAAAAAATTAACGTTGCCAAATTTCGGAATAATTTCTACTTCTGAAATAACATTCCAAGAAAATTATTTTTTCTATAATTTCTGTCTGAAAATTGTGCTGCGGCCTATACACGCACGCGGCCTATACATGCGTAAATACGGTAATTTATTAACTTTTTGAAATGTTCTTGCATTTAGGTTTATTACAAGTTAAAGTTTAACTTTCTGATATGTATGCACAATCATATATTTGGAAATGAACGTGTATGTGTATAGTATGTCCACACACAGCTATGCATCAGTTGTTGAGAATGTACATTTATATTTACTTGGTTTTATAACATTTGTCACATCCTGTTATTCACTGAAACAAGATTCAATGGTATATACTTCAAATGTCCCAGTTATGAAATGAATACATAACTAAGTTACCCATCTATATTGGCCTACTTATGGTATCTACAAGAGTGCAACGACCACAGTGCACCCACCTAGAAATAATATTTTAAGCTACCTCAAGCAACTCTTAATTCATAGTCTTCTATTCTCTATCGTTAATTTATTTTTGGAATATAAGAAGCTTTATCACATTCTGTGCATGCATTGGTCAGGCAATGAAATCAACTACTGGTTTCTTACATGCTTTCCAATGCCTCTGCATCAGAATCCTAAAACAAGGTAAGAAATGAATAAAAACATAACAATTCAGGCACATTCACTATATTATTTGCTCTTATCTTCAATCTGTGAATTGTAGCTTTTGACCTTCTACAACTGGAACAGAACAAGCGGAGTGGACAAGTGGTGACAAAATCAGTCAAATGGTTCTCAAGTTCTGATGACAACAGCACAAAAATCTCATTTTTATTGTCTCAAAAACTATAAAACTTAACAGAAAATGAGTATTTAGTATAAAAAGAATATACAGTGTGTTTATATTTTTTCTGTGACTTGTTCATAACATTCTTCATCACTCCAAAAGAGAGCAAGCAAATTACACTTGAGATGTGCACAGAAATGCATGTAGGTCATTATCTAGTCTCTATTATTACTGCCTGATTTTAACTAAAATTGTATTGTGTTGACAAATTTAATAAAATTCTTCAATACCAAATTTAATGAAGATATGCTAACCAGTTCTCAAGTTGATAATAACGTTCCTTTCCACTTGTGCTAGTTATGGGGGGGGGGGCTAACACTCATTCTCAGTAACAAACCAGCTTGTAACCAAAGGCCCTCAGGAAAAGGATGAGGGGGCTGGGAATTGGATTTTCAAGTTTCCATAGGTCAGGTGGTTAGTCAGAAAATCTGAAAGAGAAAACTCACTTGGCTAGACCTTAGTGTAGATGGGAAGATATTGTAATATGAACTGAAACATGGTGTAAAGGTGTCAATTTGATTTAAGAAGGTTGGAACAGGGTTTTAAGTTGGTCTTTTCTGGAACTGATTATTAAATCTTTGGTCCCATATAAGTAGGCAAATTTCTTGACCAGCTGAGTGACTCTGCTTTCCAAGCAGGCCTCTGCCAAATTAAATTAGTTTCCAATAAAGAAAGAGCGAAGCTAACTGAAATGCCTAATTCAGACTGGAAATGATACTGACATAAATCATCAGCAAACAAAGCTATTTAATAAAATATTATAATCTCAGAGGGCGCAGAGGCTATACAATCAACATAGTGAGCTGGGATAGCTCAGTCAGTATTGTGACAGCCTATGGTCTGTATGGTAAAAGAATCAGGATCTAATTCCTGGCAGGGAAAGAGAGATTTTTCTTTTCTCCGCAGGATCCAGACAATCTCTGGGGCCCACTCACCCTCCTATCCAATACATACAAGGGACTCTTTCCCCAGGCATACAACAGCTAGGGCATGAAGTGGACCACTATTTTCATCTAGTGGCAAGGTTAAGAATACATGAAGATACACATCTAATTCCCATGTGTCTTTGTGGTGACATAATTAACTGATCAAGTAGAGGACAACTTTCTCTTTACCTTAACCTTTAAGTGACGGCCCTTTAAATTCTGGTAACGGCAGCGGGACGGATTTGATTTAAATACCCGCAATATTAAAGCAATAAAAACTGTAATCATTTCCTAAAATTGCTGTGATTTCTACAATTTTTGTGATAAACAAACCAAATAAACGCTGTTTTTTT